GGGGGTCGGAACAAAGGAGCCGGAGAGCGGCGCTGACCTCTCTCTTTTAGGAAATAATTATCTCCGAGCCTATCGGACAGCCACTTACAGTATTCAACAACAGTGTCTATAAAAACTCTTCAACAATGTCTTCTATATAGGTAGATCACTTTCTGTAACAGCCTTTCTGACAACAAATGTTGGTATTGTTTTTGCTTTCGATTACTTTGCTTGACACGGCGCAACGATGGGGCGTTTCAGTCCAATAGATGGACCCCATGAAGAACAAGCCAGCAGGGAATTCACGTAAGTTCAACCGTATACGCGAACCGAAGTGAATACGACGTTAATAATGGACCTGGAATAATTTCATTCAGCCCACAGGCTTCCCTTGCTTTGCTTGGGGCCTTCACCGGCTTCTTCTGTACAGTGGGATTCTTCAATTCGTTCGGTCTGTTTGAGTCATACTATAAAACTCATCAGTTGGCCCATGAATCCCAGTTGAATATCTCATGGCTTGGCGCTATGAGCGTTTTCCTCCTCTATGCAGGATCACTCGTCTGTGGGCTACTGCTTGACATTTTTGGTCTTTCCCTCTCTTTCGTGATCGCCTGTGGTATTCGCTACCTTTGCTAACTATTTTTGTTTGTTACAGGTCATGATCTACCTGGGCAGTCTCGGCACAGTCCTGTCGGCCATGATGATCTCTCTCTGCGAAGAATTCTGGGAGTTTATGTTGGTGCAGGGTCTCTTGTTCGGCATGTCTATGACACTGGCGTACACCCCCGTCCTGGGGGTCATTGGCCAATACTTCAAGCGTAGACGCGCTGCAGCGATGGGCATCGTCATCTCCGGCTCGTCATTGGGGGGAGTCATATGGCCAATAATGCTTCAAAAGCTCCTCTATAACCCCAAAATCGGGTTTGCATGGACCTTGCGGATTGTAGGCTTCATGATGCTACCGCTTCTCGCCATGACTTGCCTCTTAGTGAAGCCACCAGTCCCAAATTCAACGGCCATAATAGATCAGACGACGGAAAGGGAAAAGGCAGGGGAAATGCCAGAAAGGCCGGTTCTCAAGCTGAGAGTCGGATTCGGACAACTAAAAAATCCCACGACCCTGCTGACCTGCTCTGCATTCTTCTTTATATATTTCGGTATTTTCACGCCGCTGTTCTTCACAGCTTCCTTCGCCCAAGCGAAGAGATTCTCGGAAGATCTCTCCTTCTACACCATCTCCATCATGAATGCGGCCTCGTTGATTGGGAGAATCCTGCCGGGCTTTTTCGCAGACAGCTATGGACGATTCAACACGTGCGTCCTTATGACCCTCTTTTCAGGGATTATTGCCCTTTGCTGGAGTACAGTTCAGTCAGTCGCAGGCCTGGTGCTCTTCTCACTGGCTTACGGCTTCTCATCTGGGGTAACCGCTCAATGGAGATTGCTTCAGCCGAAGAGACACAAGAAAGAAACTAATTTTCTTTTTCGGTTAGGCTATTATGTCACTTCAGCAAGCATGTGCTGCACAGATTTCCACACCCCAAACTCTCGGTATGACGATCGGCACTGTCATGGCCTCTGCATCACTGTCGTATGTGTCATACATATCTGTTCCGGTCTACATTGCTAATTTGGAGTGTAGTGGCCTAGCAGGTATTCCGATCAGCGGCCAGCTGGCTGGCAAATATGGGTATTTGTCCTTGTCGATATACGCTGGTGTGAGTCTCATTATCGGTGGCACGCTCCTCGCCGCTGCCCGTTTCAAACAAGAGAAATCGCTTTGGGCAGTTATTTGAGTCTGCCACATGCCCAGTTCCACAGAATTCCATGTGGACATGGAAACTAAGCGAAGGGATGGCAAAATAAGACTATTCCAGTACACGGGTTTAGTTGCAGTGCATAAAAAAATGAAGCAGATATGAGACATCTGTCACGGCTTGGAAATTAAAAGAAAGGCCTACCATAGAAGAAAGCCTGCCCATCTTGGAGAAAAGAGAGGAAGGAAGGACTCTCGGGCTTTCTAGGTGGGCCCGGACAGCTATCACCTGGTCTGACCACCAGCAGGGATTCAGCGGCAATGTCGGAGTATCATTTCTACATCGTATCTTTTTCTGAGTCCTTGGACTTCATTCAAACATGTTGATTTTGCTTTTGAAATTGTGTTTCCGGCTGCAGAAAGTGATATGGACAAATAATCATCTAGACACACGGATTAACACTATGAGGATTTTTGTCTCAAGAACGTTCTCCCATTCTTTAATTTCGTGTACCAAATACCAACATTTGTCGGGTTCAAAATCACCTCTCTCGTTCGACAACCCCGGCATCTAGACTTGGAAGGATGTCTTTTGGGTTGCACACAGCCAGACCGACCTGAAAGTGTTGCTATATAAGGTAGTTCAAGTTGCGGAAACGGCCTGAGGATATTACTCTTTACCAATCTTTGTAATTGATGCGTGAGTTCTTATTAAGGTACTTGAATATATGCTGGAAACATGCGATACTAGAAAAAGGTGCGACCAAGAATGTGATCGAATGTCATACCGTGTATAGGCTAGTTGGCTGCCGACCGCTAGTTGCTGCAGTAGAAATCTTTTGCCGTGGACCTTCTCATTCGTCATTAAAAATCTAACTTACCACCAGTATGATGAAAGAACAGACTCTTTGTGATCCGGTGCTGCGGGAACGGTTAGATAATGTGCACCTTGTATCTCGTATCGGTTGGCAAGCTCTACGTTTCTATGTGCTCTCACTTGAATTGCCTGCGGCTCTCTAAAAATTTGCCCATTGATAGACACTATCAGCTTCGATGGAGTTTTGCCCAGATAGTCACTGATGAAAGGACAAGGTGATAGCGTCTAACCGGAGATATTTCCTGGGGAAAGGAGGGGAAGAAAATAAAGAAAATAAAAACATAAAAACAAACCAACAAGGATGGTCAGCCGAAGAAGCCTTCATGCAAATTATGTTTATTTTTGATTACACCATAAACAGTGACCAAACACCAACAATGTAAACGAGTCCCGTATCTGAAAATCGTCTCTCCATCTATACCGTCTCCTCCTGGCTGTCTTGGGTAGTGAATTTCCACCGAAAGCTAGTCGTACTTTAGGCCATCAATGTAGATCACTGGCAGCACGATAGATATTCACAGAGCTTTCCACAAACTAGCTGGCAATGAGTCTCTATACCTTCTCCGCTTGTATGACTTGCAATCTTGGCCTTTTCATTCCCTTTGCGGCCAGGGAGCATCTCAGGCTGAAGAGTCACCGAGTGGATGCCATACGCATGGAAACATTCGTTCACTGTTTTGGCCAACTTGTTGAAATCCTGCTCCTCGGCTGTCCCGTCTAAGACAAGGTGGGCAGAGGCGAGAGACTTCTTCTGGTTCAAGCGCCAGATGTGAAGCTCATGGACGGCGACGATTCCCGTGATCTGTAAATCGGTTAGTATGAAAGAAAACCAAGAGAGCAGTCAAGTTGGCTCAGGGATTCAAATTAGGTACCTGCTCAAGATCATGTTTAACATCATCATGCTCGACGCCCTGGGGAGCACTTTGAAGTAGAATCATACCGCTTCGTTTGACTGGTCGATGGTTTAGCGACCGTAGCGCAGGGGGGGAAATTAAAAACACGAGATAAATCTTGGGAGTCCTACCTAGTGGTAAAGAGGAGACGAAGATCATAATAGCGATGGCCATGCTCACGGCAGGGTCGACATAAAACCGACCGCCATACTTTGCCAGCCAAATGACCAACCCTGAAATGATCACACCAACATTGTTCGCACAATCGCCCATGATATGAATCAAGACTCCCATGAGGGCTAGGTCAAACTTTTCACGCGGCTTCAAAGCGATGGCATTGGTATGGTGCTTGTGGGTGAGGTGCTGGGTGCGAATGTCAAAAGTCGATAAGGGGGATGAGAGCTATGATAAAAAGGCTAACCTTTTCACTGACAGAGGCAGTCTGCCCCTGGGCATCGTTGCTGCGGCTGTGGTCATGGTCGTGATTGTGCGTATGTCCGTGGTCATGTCCGCCGTGGTCGTGGTTGTGCTCTACATCACTTCCGTCAATCTTGCTACTACATGTCGCATATCGGCAGCAACAGCAACTTACCGTGTAGGAATGTCACACTGATCAGGTTAAGAGCGAACCCAACACAGCCAATGATCATTACCAGCTTCGGGTTTTCGACTCCTGTACGGAAAGAAAGAAATCAGCGCGAGGTCTTTGCGGGACCATGTTGATGGGGTACTTACGCTCCAAACTGATGAATCGCTCGATTGACTGCAAAAAGATACTGATTCCCAGACCGAACAAGAGAACGCCATTGAAGAAAGCACCTAGTAACTGTGCGCGTTGCCAACCAAAGGTCAAGGGAGTTGGTGACTTGTCTCTTCCTGCAATCTAAGAAATCGTCGGCACAATCCAAGCTGGGGGAGCCTCTCTCGACAAGGAGAAACAACCAAATTTCGGAGGGATGGAGGGGGACGAGAATGAAAGTCACTTACAATCGCAGCCACGAGAGCAATGATGAAGCCGACAATATCACTCAACTGGATAGTGGAGATTAGTATCAGGCTATCATTTTATTCATGAGAAAAACAGACATAATGGAATGCATCGGCCACCAGGGCCAGCGAGCCAGTGTAGAAGCCAACTATATTATTTCGTGTCATCAGCAGGGCCATTTTTCCACCATCGCCCACACCGACGCTGAAAAATGGAGCGAAGTCTTGACGCTCGACCTACCTGAGATTTCCGCAATGAAGAATGACAGAGAAATGCCTATCACCGCGCTGAGGCGCTGGACGCGCGTAATCTTCAAGTTCATCTAATGCGATTTACGTGTGTAGTAGGACGATGGAAAACAAGGAACAGTGCGATTACCCTCTATGCAGTGATGCTTATAAACTCGGCCCGTGTGATTTTGATAGCATACCCTGTTTCGACTGCGAATCACTCACAGGGTGGCCACGGAGGTAGTATTGCTTGATTTGGAAGGTTGTGGAGCCGAGACCCCGACGGACCGGACGAGAGACAAGAATGTCATTGTGGCGAAAAGGCTTCAATCCCCGAGCGCAACGGCGATCTCAGGATGATCTCCGATTCGAGTACCAGTCCAATTGCTCGATCAGATTGGCTTGGCACGGAGAAGGTAAAAGGAAGGGCTGACAATTACCGAATAAGGAATGAGCGATCTCCGGTGCCACTGAAAAGTACGTGAGTCACGACAGAAAGAATTTGAAAACACCTTGAGCACACATACTTTGTTTCTGGGCCCGTACCCGAAACAAATCTTATTCTAGTTTGGACTAGCCGTATTCAACAATAGTCTACGAGTGGCTGTCAACTTACCACTTGTCCGAATAAAGACTACACCCGTTTTGGGTGCGAGCCGAGAAACAAAGTGTATGCCCGAGGGGTAAACTGTTTTCAAATTCGATTCTGGAAGCCTGAAGGCTTAATGACACGCCTTTCCATACTTGCGCAAGCGTAGATAGTTGTATGGCAAGGGGGCGAAAAAACCAGCACCGATCGATAAGACCGCCGCCATCCAGAACTGCGGGTCCTCAAGATTGACCTGGCCTCCGGTCAAGTGGTAATCCACCATATTTTCAGCCATCTCCATAGCTACCATCGAGACCATACTCATGCCCATCGCAGTGCGTGCCGCCAGGGGCCACGACAGCTGGTCCGCTCCGCGCCGGAGAAGAATCGTTTCGAGGATAATCGAAGTCGTAATGCCGCTGGCCACTGTAGTACCATCACTTTGATTAGGTACGCGCTTTCAACATCGTATATTAGGCATGGAACTTACTGGAGGCCATCATGATGGTTCCCATCCCGAGGTCCAGATAGTAGGTTTGAAGCATCCATAATGCGGAGAAGTCGCCGGCGGTGCAGCCGACCAGACAGCGCAGAGTATTGAGGCCGGCGCGCTTCCACGTAGACCTGCACGTCCAGAAGTCCATCATCCAGGCTGACCGTAATGGCTGAGACGTTGCGACCGCCAATTGGCCGCTGGCAGAGGCTGAACTGGGTTGCTCTTGACCGGGCTTCCTGCAATGGCCCGAAGAACAGGCTTGGGCTGGTGCCGAGCTGGATAAAACGCGACGGGATGTAGAATGAGTGACCCGCGGCGTGAGCCCGGATTGAAGGTATGAGAATCTCATTCGATACATGGTGGTGGTGGATGGACGGGGATTTGCGAGTTGCGAGTTGCTGCGCAAAGAGACGAGACCCGGTCAAAGCCGATGCGAGTCCAGTAGTTAAGTCTCCTCCGAGAGGTGCAGCTCCTCAAAACGAACAATTCGCGCAGCGGGTCGGCACCGAGGCCCAGCCAGCATAAATCGAAGCCCCTTTACGCAGAAATGCCGCAGGGGGGCGGATGGGAGAGCGAAGATAAAAGGTCGCCGATTTTCTCGTAAACTGCTGATTTTGACAATTCAACTGCAGCCTCGCTCAAAAGTATTTGCTACAATCGTCTCTCTCTCTCTCTCTCTCTCTCTTTTCCATTAATCTCAGAACCTCATCTTCAAAACCATGTCGGAGCGCCAGTACAAGTTCAACGTCCAGATGGCCTGCGGCGGCTGCTCCAGCGCCGTAAAAGAAGCTGTGGAAGCCCTCAGCGGTAAGTTCCCCTTCGCTGCTTTTATATCATGATCATGTTTGTCAGGGCACTAACGTCTTCATTTTATACGTTGCAGGCGTGAAGAATCTCTCCATCAACCTGGAAGACCAGACTGTCTCCGTGGGTGCTGAATCTTCTCTCTCCTACGAAACCGTGTTGGATGCCATTAAGGCCAAGGGCAAGAATGTGCGCAGCGGTGATGCAGACGGAATTGCTCAGACTGTCTAAGACTCGGGGAGGTTACCGGTCACGCTTGGTTCATTTGGTGACTTTTGGTGTACATGTAGTGCTTGTACTAGTTATTGTATAGTACTTCGGATCGGTTCAAGCTTCATAAAAATTGTGTCGTACCAATGATAAAACTTTGCTAAAACTGCCTATTAATCTATTCCATCATATTTGCCATGGCTTGAATTGGGGAATCCTGGTAACATCCACGTGTACCCTACATTATCTTCACGGCCAACTGTAATAATGGCACCCCCATGACACACACCTGGCAAACACTATTGTAGAGACTCCAATTAGGCGAATTTTAGCTGCTAGCCCCGTAATAGTCGATCCCGACGGATCAGATCTTTCGTCGCCTCTCCGCATAATTATGATTAATGCCACAGAAGATCCCAGAACGCCCGGTTACTTTGTGTTCTATTTCGACTGATTCGGCATGATCCAGCAGTTTCCATCTCTTCTCTAATATTCTTACTAGATCATCGGGGTCTATAACGAGACCCTAGATTAAGACCGCTCCGTCCATCCCTTCTGATTGATTGCAGTCCGCATTTCACGCACAAGTAGCTCACCCGTTTACGGTATGGCCCTCTGATTGGTTAAAGTCCACATTCCATGCACAAATAGCTCACCCGTTTACGGTATGACCCACTGATCGTCCGAAAGACATGCGTGATTATCGCCCTAGCGTGAATATATGTCCGAATGTTGGTTTTGCTGGGGACAAGAAGAGGTGAGGGAACAGGAAACTTTTGGCCTTCTTCCAGATCGGTGAACCTATATATTATGGTTCATCTACCTATTTCCCTCCCTCCTGCTCTCTCTCTAATCATCTGTTCGTCTATTTATCTACTCAGCTACTAATCTCTTAATTCACGTTTAAATTTATCTCCTTGCATCTCACAGCTCGGCATGAGCGAACCACAATCTCCGTCTCAGTCGAGACTCACCACTCTCCTCGTGGACAACCTCCACTGTCCCTCGTGCGTGGCAACCGTGCAAGAAACTCTGTCTGATCTCCGACCGGCTCCATTTTCAGTCTCCACCTCCATCGTCCTCCATGAGATCAAGGTGGTTCATTCCATTACGCTGAGTGCCTCTCGCATTGCGCGCGCACTTGAGGATGCCGGCTTCGAACTTGATTGCATCGCGCCGTCGACATCGCGCGACGCTGACCTAGAATCCCAGGACTATATGCCCTGGTCGACTTCCCGGAGACGCAGTGGAGCTTATAATGTCCACCACCAGTACAAAAAGCACATCCGCCAGTGTGACGCCTGCTCGACGCAGCTGGCCACCTCGTCGTCGACAGAGAAGGAGTTGCAGGCCTCGCCCAGCGGCGAAACTCTGAACTCCGTCATGGACGATCGCATTATCGTCTCCAAATGT